TACGGTTGTTACGTAACCTTGTTGCGTTATTTTGTCACGTTAAGTTGAAAGGATTCCGACTGTCTCTGTAATGTTCTGGGCATACGGATACAATAAATGTTCAAGAAGAAATAGTTCCAAAGTGTAACTGTGTGGTGTTCATGTTTCTCTTACACGTGTACAGATTAAACCAACGGGACCCGACGAGTCGATGAAATGTTTAAATGTGTATATGTGCTCTAATGACTTCCTGTTTATTATTAAAATGTTGTTTTTTAAAATGCAGGAGGTTGTGAGAGAAACCTAAAAGCAACATTGTATGAATGCATTTTAACTGGTATTTCTATTCTTTTATTTCCTCTCACTTTAAAGCCACAGAATTATTATTTTTGAAATCCAAACTGAGCTCTAAACGTCGTTCCACTGCGCTGCTCTGTTTCATATTTGTTGAAACAAAGAGTTCATATTCCACATCCTGTCCTCCACACACCCTTTTATTTTTACGAGCTGCTGTCTTGTTGTTGCAGGCGTGTACTGTCGGCCATGTTTCCACAGTTTAGGAAACACGTGTGTCGTCTGCACGCGACCTCTGACCTTCCAGGAAGACGGCGAGGAGGAGCTGTGAGCGTTACAGTCATCTATCTATCTATCTGTATATAACTCATGTATTTATACTCAATGAGGCTGAATCATATTAATCCAGAAACATTTATAATAGTGAACATTTTACTGATCAATCAATACGTTTACTTTAAGTTCTTTAAGTAAATTTTGCTGATAATACTGACACACTTTTACTTATAATGTAACCAACTGATGATTCTCAAGAAGAAAACTGAAACACATTTCAAACCTAATCAATAAAAGTGATTTCTGATTGAGACGTCGTGCTCGTTTCTCTCAGTGACTCCAGTGATGACGAGCAGCCGAACTCAAAGAGGAAGAACATCGGGGCAACGAGCCGAAGACGCTGGAACGGCGGAATGAGAGCGAGGACGGTCGAGGACGGAGAAGAGAGCGACATCAGTGTCGACTCTGAGCTCAGGTAAGCTACGGGAAATATTGATCACCTGATCAGACACCGAAGCCTTTAACACAGAACGTCATCGAGAACATCGGAGCTTTAACCGGACATTTAACAGACTTTAACAGTTCATATGAGAGAAAGGCTGAACACTGATTCATTGGTTTGCTTTCTTTGAAAAGTAAAAATGTAAACAACGAGAAAGATCACATCTCCACCAGGTGTGTCTGCAACAACCACAGCTGTATTGTGAGACTGAATGACTCCAAGGAGTCGTGAAACACAAGTCATTCAAACTCAAACACAAGCGGCGATGTACGCAAGCACTTAGCTCAACGTCATCGTCAACGGCTGAGTGTCGGCGACGTACTCAGCAGAGTGTTTGGTAGTTTTGTTAGCCGTCATCCAAACACTCCAAAACAATTACAGTTGTACTCCTCTGTGGGCGATGTACTCCTCTGTGGGCGATGTACTCAGCTGCGTTATCACCAGCGGGTCGTCCAACAAAATGTGAGTCAACACAACCACCAGAGGTCCAGCAGCATGCGGCCATGACGGGACGCACAGAATGTGATGCAGTGTGCTGCAGCACATTATGAGCTTAGTGGACAGACTCAGCGATGCACACTCACTCACTCACGCACACAAGCCAACGCACGGTTCTCCTCCCTGAGATAATATTAACTAAGCTGCAGCAGATTTGGAGGTTTAACTTGCAGAACATCTGTTTTTTCCCACCCTGCCTGCTGTCAGTGAAGCAGACATGACGTACCAGAACCAACCCGGGTCGGACGACAGCGACTCCTCCTTCTGCTCCGCCGGCACGCCGAAAACCAGCAGCCTGCAGGACCAGAGTCTTCAAACCGTCGTCATACACGGACCGGACTGTCTTTAGGAGATCCCAGGATCCTCCAGAACCCTCCAGGACCTAGTCCCCAGGATCCTGATCCAGAACGTTCTGTCAGTTTTGAGCAGAGGGTTCACTTTGTAATTAAAGTTATTAAAGCATGAAATGAAAAATTTGAAATCTGATTAATTTACTCTGATTAAATAACTCCATTTCCTGACTTTTTCTGGAGCTTTCAACAGGATCTCAGTCTTCTTCAGTTGAATGTCGTTTAAAGAACATTTAAACTTAATTTAGGTTTTTTTGTCTACTGTTCCCAAGATAAAGAATTGTAATGCAGAGCAGACAGCTGCTAGGTATCGCTAACAATGCTAGCCATGTATGCTAAATGCTACAGCCATGCTAACAATGCTAGCAATGTTAGCCATACAAGTGTGTCAACTCACAACAGAGTTCAGTTATCCTGCTACAGGTATACAGTACAGTATTTATATATGTAAATATTATACAAAAGTACATTTGAATACATTCACAGTCTCAGTTCATTCATTTGAATTGTACCTGTCAAACTACCTGTGGCTCTCACCACCAATTTCCCATCATGCATTGCTGTTTAACCCACTGCACTGCTCTGAATCACACTGATAACATTCTGACTTCCTGCTATCAGCTGTTATCTTCAGTACAAATACACAAACCCTGCATTCAAAACTTTACTCAAATAAAAGTACAGTATCAGCATTCAGAAATACTTAAAGTAAAAGTACTCATTATACAAAATAATATCTATTAAAGTATTAATGTGTTCATGATTATGTTTATTATGATGTTTAATGTTTATATAATCTTTAATAATACATCATTTATTAGTTGATTATATATTTTATTAATAATATAAATATGTAAAGCTATTAAATAACTATGGAGTGAAAAGTACAATATTTACCTGAGAAGTATGTAGGAGTATGATATAGCAGAAAATACAAATACTCTAAAGTACAAGTACCTCATAGATGTACTCAGATGTACTAGAATGAATGTACTTTTGTTACTGATTAACATTGAACCAGCAGCAGACTGTACTGGTCAGCTCCCAGTGTGTGTTGGTGTGTGTGTGTGCGTGTGTGTGCGTGTGTGTGTGCGTGTGTTGGTGTGTGTGTGTGTATGTGTTGGTGTGTGTGTGCGCTGGTGTGTGTGTGTTGGTGTGTGTGTGTTGGTGTGTGCGTGTATGTGTTGGTGTGTGTGTGTTGGTGTGTATGTGTTGGTGTGTGTGTGCGCTGGTGTGTGTGTGTTGGTGTGTGTGTGTTGGTGTGTGCGTGTATGTGTTGGTGTGTGTGTGTTGGTGTGT